TCAAGAAATCATCTGCTATTTACATTTCCACTCAGTTCAGGGCCAAGAGAAAATAAAGCAGATTGACATCTGACCTAATTACTACTACCGCTACAGTGGTCTGACTTCCATCTACCAAAACATACATTTCTTCAAACTAACATCAATGTCCGCATTATTAAGAAACTTTTTGCTACACTGAATACCAAAATACTCATCACTCTAAAGAAAATAAATAAAAATATCTTATCTATTTTAGACACTTGAGTCAGTTCGTTTCATTCCCAAAGTTTCTGATAAAATAATTATCCTATACCTCTCCAAAAGGCAATATTCAGAAATGAACACATTACGAAACATTAGTATTATTTATAATTTTGAAAAAAAATCATCATTTCAAGAATTAAATGGACAAATGTTTTGGCCTATCTATTCTATAGTATTCTTCAATAATGTGTACTGACTGTACAGGTAGAGAGATGTCTTTTATTGTAAAACAAAGCAAAAATGACAGCAAACATAATTCAAAACATTCAGGTTAGGTTATTTCAGTTTTAATAATTGTTCAATTTTTGCAATACTGTTTATTCTTTAATTTATAAAGTGATTGCTTTCTGAAGTAAAAATTTCTATACCATACCTTAAGTAACGAGAACCACACTTCATTTTATTTATTAGTTTTAAGCTTTGCAGTGCTGGAAAAACAAACCTGCTCTTTTCATATGTATAATATACCTGAAGAAGGCTGCAGAATGAATCAGCCAAAACATTGTGGGAACAATATAAATAACACAAAGAAATTACATGCAAAAATTGTTCAGATGAACTCTCTGCTAGAGTACCTAGACTTTATTAATTTAAGCACAGTACTAGATTGGTAACAAGGTTTTATCAATTTACATTTGAATTGACTAGAACAGTTTTTTTCTCATACTTCTCACTTGTAGAAATCTTTTCTGGTTCCATGCTTTCCAGCCAACTTTGATCTTCAAAAATTTAAATGCAATGTTAATCACTATCTAATGTCTTAATTACTCACTCCTTAATAATGATTAAAAGAAAAAAAAAAAGTAAAATAATATAAAAAGGCACTTTATTTTGTACAGCACCAAATTTTCTAAGTTTCCTTACTAATTTTCACGATGTAACATTTTTTTTGTCTGAAAAAAAAAAATTAAAGTTATTTTGGTATATTAACATTATCAGCAAAAAATAAAAAATAAAGAGAAAAAAAAGCAGTTAAATTTACATAAAAGTCATAAATCATGTTCTTTCCTGAAGCTGGTGAAAAAAAAAAGACGACACATCACTGTCCATCTTACACAAAGACTGGAGCAGAAACGAAAATTCATTTTAATTTTTTTTTGTTTTGCTAAGAATACAAACAATAGATTTCACACCAATAAAAATGGATTTCAGATCAATAACAACAAAAAATAAAATAAAACCTTATAAAACCAAAGAATCCCTTACAATGTTAGAAAATTTGAATCCAACTGATAAGAATTACCAAATAGATGAAAATAAAAAATATTTGGAAGTATAAATTAGTATTATTTACACTATTTATATTCAGACGATTGTCTTTATCTTCATTGTTGCCTTCCTCAGATGTATATCAGTCTAAGTAATTGACAGGGAATTCTGAACTGAGCCCTTTATTTAATATATGGGGGTAGATTGTTCTCATTCCACTGCTCATGTCTAGGGATATCAAGTATTTATTATTTAGTACTGCTCAGTTATTGCTTGCCCATTTCTACTGACTACAAATACACACTACCCAATCCTGGGAGTGAACTCACAATCACTAGATCACCAAATACAAAAACCAAGACTTGAATCCACTAGACCATTGTCCTGTGAACTTGGAACCTTAAACCTAACCTGCTGGCTGGTGAGAGTTGCTGCTGCTGTCATTGAAGACTTGCTATCATTTTTCCTTATAAATTAGTAATAGAAAAAAAGAAAAGAGCTCTCCTATTTTATCCCTGATATCAGACTGATGATGTTTATTAGATAGGTATAGTAACCAAATTGAAACAAGAAGAAATAGTTCATATTCCTTTCAGTTAGTACTTGTAAAACCTATAATATCTCCAAGGTATAATAATTTAATATATAAGCACAAGAAAGTAAAATGTAGGTTAATATATTTTCTATACAAAAAAAAAAATATGTTTCAATTCTCTTTGTACAGAAAATTAACATCAAATTCAAAATAAAAAAGAGACAATATCCCAGGTAATATATACATTTTTGGAGAATGTTATGAATTTACAAAAGCTATTATTAATATGCTGAGATTCTCATCTGGAAGTAATGAATATTTGTTGCTTCAAAACATTCTGAGGCTTCTATATTGATACAAGCACCACCAGACAATTTGGCACATAAATCTTTGGACACTACCAACATAACTCATCTCCAATCGAATATATTGCGTAATTAAATATCGACTATATAATCCAAATATAACTGACAGTATTCAGCCAGAAGTGATATCACTGCAATTATGAAAACCAGAATCTGCAAGGTGTTTTAAAAACAGTCATAATTTAACAGAGTAAATTTACTACAAATAAGGACCACAAGTGACTGTTTTACCTTTTCAGTATTTATCTCACAAAAGGAAAAAAAACAGCAATGTTCAACCATAGTTTTATTTTTCAGACAAAAAAAGTGTGTCAAAAGGACAGTTATTCCTTTGATGCCACTATTACTGTATACAATTTTGACTACCTTAGCAATGTTTATTTATAACATTATAAAAATATGTGAACAAATTACAATGTAATATTTATTATTTACCTTTTATAAAGAAATAAATTTTAAAAGAAATCTTTTTATTAAAATTTTTTAAAAAATTACAAAATTATCAAAGTATGTAAACCACTTGCAATTTATTATTAACCATTTTATAAATAACTATTTTATTCAATCTAATAAATAAATAAATCGTGTTTAACATCTTTGTTGTCAAATCTCAAGAATAAAGAAAATGTATAAATTCACTTTCATGTGTTTGGGTTTTATTAAAATTTTAATCATAGCTTTTTAAAACAATAAACATTGCCAAAAGTATATGCAGTAATAGTAGTGTCAAGGGAAGAACTATCCTTTTGACATACCATTTTTTTTCTTGGGGACAAAAGTTAAACATTTCCACAAAAAAAAAAAAAAAATAAAAAAAAAATAAATACAATATCATAGATAAATATGAAGTTTAAACTCTTTGTTATTCACTGTATATTTTTGATGTCTTAATTTAAAATATGTTTCAAGATCCCCCACATGATAAGAATGCCACATACTCTTTTAAAAATGTATAAACATTATTTATAACTTTCAGTAATGTCATTAACATTTCATGATTTTATTAGGACATTGAATGCATTCTTTGTGGTGTTAATGCTGTTAACCCTCTCTTGACCAATTTATTCTATAACTGTCTTCAGGAATATTTATCATCTATAACTTTAAAAAGAGTCATTAACATACTGAATACTTTTCAGACAACTGAACCACTTTTTCGTATACTTACTCTTGTTATTGTTTCAGTCAAAATTTGGTGTTAATAATTGCAAATATATGAAGAAATGGTTCAATTGTCTAAACAAGATGAGGCATGCACAAACCTTTCACATGTCTTCAAGTTTAGGAAATGTTCCAACACCTTTAAGTGCAACAGGAAGGGGCAATGTAAGAGACAATTACCTAATGCTCAGGGAAATCATATTTTGCAATTCTCACCAAAACTAAGAATCAGAGTCTGCAAAGACTTATCACTTCACTGGTACAAAGTAAGAAAAAATAGAAATAACCAAATTCTCAAACCCAAATATCTGAATTGGTTGAAGAAATACCAAAAACTTTATTCATCCCATTATGTTTACACCTCTTTTATCTTTACTGAGTTTCCATACCTCATTTTAATATATTTAGATGACAGAGAATTTGATTTTAGTGCCTATAATGATCTTAAGACTAAGAGAATTTCAGCAAACTGTAGGAAATTCTCTGAACTTTCAATACAACAGAGAAGTGCAGAACTGCAGACAGCTATCCCAGCATCCAGCCAAATCACAATTTATTTGTTAAAACAAAACCAAAAAAAATCTAAGAAGTTTACAGGTATTTGAGTACTAATTACATTCATACAAGGTACATTTTTCTTCTTAATTACTATTATGTCAATTGTAATTTTCTTTTCAGTTTATAAGATAAACATATACTTGCATAATAATTAGCTCATTACTAAGACAACAGACAGATCATCAGTTACCAAATGGACACATAGAAACAAAGCCTGAACAACTGAAGAGAAGGTGAATCAACAAGATGCATGCCATTATAGGTTCAACATTGTCATGCCCTGCCAAGAATAGACATTTGGGTGAGGATGCAGTAGGGCTTCAGCCTTCAAAAGTGTGATGATACTGCATAGAAATTATTGATTCAATTTCACAACTCTTCAATTGTTATGTAACAGTCATTTTGACTTCAGGTTTCATGAATAGATAACTATCTTTTATTGCAAAGTTTTGAATAATCCTCATCCTCTGTAAGCCAAATTGGGGATGATGGTATTACACTTCACACAAAGGTAACATGGAATCTGATTCTCTACATCAGGCACAAGCAACATTTTTTGAGCAGTGGACCATATGATCTATGGCTTGTTACAAGGTGGCTGCACTACTAAAAAGAGTAAAGTTAATTTTTCAAAGTAGGTACCTCAGCTATTTTCACTACAGAATTGATAGATTCATTCATTCATTTTCCACAACTTATCAATCCTTTACAGGTTATTTAAAGCCAGAAAATATTTTAGATTGTAAGAATTTTTTGGAGATAATGATTTTGGAATACAAGTCTTACTAATTAACCCATAGCTGGGAGAAGAAGACTTGGATTCCTACCTTTCCCAAGGGTATTTGTACATAAGTGAATATAATGAACCCAACTAGAATTGGAACAATTCCAAGCAATTATCCATTTCCCCACCTACACATCCAAGTTTACAGCACCTGATATTCCCAAGTGGTCATTCATCTAGGTACTGACCAAGCTCAATGTTGATTAACTTCAATGATTGTACAGGAACAGGTATTTCAACATGATATGGTCATAAGCCTTTCACTACAGAAAATCATATACATAAGCATATACCTTAGAAATGGGGGAAAAGTTGATTTTTTTTTTCTATGGAGAAAAGATTTTTCTTTAATTAAAAAATTAAAGTCTTGGTATAATATTATCACTGGTGACAATGACAATGTGATTAACACATGTTGCTGCATGTGATTTGTTTCTAATTTATTCATTTGAAATTAAAAACATTTCTTCTTTAGAAAAATAATTATTATGAATGTTTCCAGTTTCAAAAACAAAAGATGTTTACACATATTATCTTCCTTAATGAAAATTGTGAAGTAATCCACAGTTACCTCCCATGTCAAGAAATGCTATCTGCCTTGGCTATAAAAACAGAACATCAATGAAGAGGGGAACAATTTTAAATTCTATGTGCTAACAAGTTTAAACATCAAAACAAACAATCAAAGACTTCACCTTCTCTTCTTTCCTTGTTCTAGAATTTAATACATTTAAATTATACCGCAAAAATCACCAATGGTTTAAAATGATTAAAATATTACTTTTACTGAAAGTTTATAAAATTCATGAAACATTATACTTAATCATTGTTTATTTGATAATGAAATGAAACAAAACAAAATTCTAAAAGGGCAACAGTCTTCTCATGACTACTCTACATATTCATTTACTGTTCTTTTGTCACCTCTTTCCAGAACAGAAAGAGAGATACATTCCAATCTGCACCTGCAAAGATTAATGGAAGCTAACCGAATGTCAAGAGTTTGTGTTAATAGAAAATTGTCTTCACAACTCTTTGTACTATTTGGTTGCTATGCTTTGTACATTGGTCACTTCATAAAGTAAAGGTGTAAAAGAGAAATGACCTTCAGAAAGACGAGGACAGTTCTCAGTCTTTAATTCAAATATCAAGGAATGTTAATGGTAGGAGAATGTTCCTTAGCAAAATTACAGTGAACGTTTGCCAGGAATAATCAAAATGATACCAGGAATCCATGATTACCATGGAAGAGTATTGGTGCCAGCCACCATCAGCTGCTCTATATCACAACAAGTCAGAGTAATCAGTGAAAAACAGAATTATTTCTTTCCCAATCACCACTTTTGTTTTGTTTTTTTCTTTCAGAGATTTCAAGATAGAAATGGCTTTGAAAATTACTTCTTGTTTCAAACAGTCTCCAATGATTAGCTGCTCTGTGTGTGTATGTTTATTTATTAATGCATTAGTATCTGTATAGATAAATACATGTGAGTATGCATATATAATCACAAGTGTGCATGTGCGTATACAGATTATATTTAACCAAGTAAAGTATATGGGAGATCCTGCATGCTGCCTGTAATAAATTATGTATGCAGTCACAATATAATTATGGTATAGAATTGTCAGTATGCAGATATGCATAGATTTTTTTTCTCCTACACACACACACTCACTCATATATATATATGTGTGTGTGTGCGCGCTTTTTAGGTAATTTTTATGTGCTATAGATAAACACATACAGCACAAATACAATGAAAGTACAGGAGTTAGCACGCTGATCTCACAAGATATTGAGAGTGAACTCATTCTTCATCAAGTACTCTAGAAAAATGGCCTTGAATCAAAATTCACTGATTTTAAAAGTACCATTTAATATATTGCCTTTATTTTACATATGGTACATATACTCTTATAATTTTGCTAGTGTACATGTATTTAAATGTATATATCTGGACACAAGTGTGTGTGTGTGTGTGTGTGTGTGTGTGGTGCATTTGGACACAAATCTATCATTTATACATGTTTGGATAAAGACTAATGAATGTTCTTTAAGAATTTTTGTTGGTCTTTAGCTTTTATACTTCAACCCACTTCCCAAAATCTGACCAAACATCAGAATTTAATTTGGAATCCTTTGTCATAACTTTTCAGCATCCCATCACACAGAGAAACATATTGCTAGCATATATTAGCATGTACTTATATTCTGTTTTAATATATATATCTAAGCTTATTTAAGGATGACTATTACAGAATAAATGTCCCAAGTTTTTTTTTAGCTTTTTTTTTTTAAGCATTTCACCCCAAGCAAGGCAGGAGTGCCACTAGCACGCAAAGGGTTACAGAGAGTGGGGACAACAGTAAAGAGGTGTGATAAAGGAAAGGATGGAGAGAAGAACGGAGAATAGATCAAGGCATCTGGAGATGTCTTCCACAGATGGGAAGTGTGAAACCTGAAGCTATTGGAGTAGAAGAGATACATTTAACTGTTTCGACAGTGAAAGGTTGCGACTGAGATGCCAACCGAGGAGCACATTTAAATTCATACAGTTTGGGAACCAGCGAAAGTAGCTTGATGGAGCAGTTACCATGAAAGTATTTGTAGAAAAGACTTGCGCAATGCATCTTTTTCACCCTAAGCCAAAATGTCATACCCCTCCCCTTTCCAAGATTGTCCAACTTAAGATGCATTCCAAATAACATGCATATATTATTGAAAATCTTCATTTTTTTTCCATATTAATATATATACATTGACATGGATTATTTTTATAGATGAGTTTTACAAAATTAATAGTACTAGAATATGTTGATGGATTTTTAAACTTGAATAAATGTACAGTAATTTGTTTTAATTCATAACTAATGATTAAATAAACTGAAGCATACTGCAATAAACAAAGTTCAATAGAATGCCAGTGTACCGTAATTCAAGAAACAAAATTCTGTAAATAAAAAATAAAAAAAATTACAAGATTTCACCCCCACCCTGAAACCGTAAGAATCACCTGATTGAGAACCCCTGTCCTAGAATAAGATACAAATTATTAAATACATAGGTGCAAATATTTCACATACTTAATGTAAACTCATTTCATAACCATTATATATAGACAAAGGTGTAAATAAAGTAATTAATATGTACATAATTATGCCTGGATTTGCATAATTCCCTTTGTCTAGAATACTTAAGTAGATATGAAAATGTTCTGAAGAAAACGTATTTAAATATTTCATGTGCTGCTAAATAATAGTAATCTATCTTAAGGAAAATTATGACAAAGTGGAAAAAGTTTACATGTGACACGTTTTTTCCTTTATGACTTCATCAGATTAAAGTGACGTTTATATTGATGCAACTAAACATGCACATGAAGGAGAGAGAACACCGAGAATTTTACCTTAAAATGTAAAACTTTTCTTTTTAAAATACATACATTGGCTATATAGTCTAGCCAATTTCATTTCATTTATTTATGTTTCCATCACTTTTTATTACATATCCCATACGGTGATAATAAAGATCTGCCAAGAAAGGTGAAATGTTGTAAGAACCTGGACATAAATTTACTGTGGATGATCTAGCGATTAAAGCACTTTCTATATGTTATACTATAATACCTATTTTATTGTAATAGACTCTCCCACAGATAATAAGTAGTAGTAGCAGTGGCCAGTTGGGCTCAGTGGTGTCGAGCGAGTCAGTCGATATCGAACATTGAAGTACCAACCATCACAACTAGATTGCTGCGTCATTAACTCTTATTTCAAGTTCCTAACGTTTTGTACGTCGGACTCTTTTAGGACAGACATAGTGAAATACAAGCCTCCACTGTGAAAACTACTCTACAGCACTATATATTTTCATCTTAGTAAATTGCTTTCTCTTTTAATTGGATTAGCATTTTTTTTCTAAATCAAAATTATAGTCAGACTCATTATGGTGAGCAACTAATGCATTGAATATGGCATTTTGTAAAAGATCCCCTTTGTGTTCATATCTCCTATGTATTCCTTGTGGCAATTATTACAGGTGATAGAGTAAATTCCACCTTCAAGTTTTAGATTATTATTTTGTTTTGTATTAAGTCTTTTATTGTTGTAGAAGTAGTTATAACAAATTTTATGTTAAGTTTATATAAATTCTATCAACTATCACAACTACAATTGAAAAGAATTTATCTAAGCTTAACATAAAATTTGTTACAACTACTTTTAAAACAATAAAAGACTTAATACAAAACAAAATAACAAGCTAAAACCTGAAGGCAGAATTTATTCTATCACTTGTAATAATTGCCACAAAGAATACATCGGAGAAACCTCAAAGAATTTAAATAAGATTATATGAACACAAAAGGGATCTTTTACAAAACAATATACTAAATGCATTAGTTGCTCATTGACTGACCATAATTTTGAGTCATCCAATCTATCTATATAATATGCTTCATGTATTTTTATAATAGCAAGAACTTAACACAATATACCAACTTTTTTATAACATGGGTAAACTAATATTATTATAACATTCTACTGGCCAGAAGGTAGGGATATGAATTTTTATTATTTTTAAGTAATAAACTGATATCTCAAAATTACTTAAACTGCAGCAGGTCACAATCATAGTCAGATGATAAAATACTGCATCAAGGATTTTCTTTACACAGGCATATGATTACAGTTAACCTAAGTGAGAAAAGTATACTAAAAAATTACCATGTGAAAACCTAATAATAGTAATACCTTAACAAAATATACCATCATTTTGACAACATGGGTACACTATTAGTATTCTGTTTCTATTAAAAAGGTTTATATAATCATTTATTATACTGTGTACAGGAATGGATGTAAATATGTTTGTTCATTATTTCATATCGTTATAAAATTACCAACATTCATTTCAAATTATGTCAAGAAAGATCCAATCAATTTAGCATTTTTATAGCCAAATAAAAATCATTAACAATAACAATGTCTGCTGAAGAGTCAATTTATTGGGACACTTGTGATTTCTCTTTTACTAATTAAAAATAAATGTCAAAAATTAATATAACAATCAAATTTTTATTTTTATATAACAATATTCATAATCTTGTCTGGCCAAATCTGGTATGAAAAATAAGAATTTTAAATAAGAATAAGTTTCAAATTTATTCATATCAGCCTAAAGACTTGAAAATATTTTCCCTTCAAAATTTAATTTAAAAGACAATTTATTTTAAAACTATATTTAAAGCCAAAT